ATTGGGTGAATACATCTCATATTACTGATTTACTCGTAGTCTCGAAACTCTACTTACATACGAAACATAAGTAGCATAGTCAATTGTTATAGCAAATATACGTTTGATTCATGGACAATCCCACAAAAGAATGTGATATGGCAAAAGGCTTGGCCTTCCTGGAAAGTCACATATCACTCGTGACAACGTGGCCGAGTGGTTAACGTGTCAAGCTCCCATTCTGCACTGTCGCGGTTCGAATTCCACTGGGTGTGTTGATGGGACCTAGGAGGGGTAGGAACGGAGAAAAATCATAACGTCAGCTCCGTACCATTAAAACTTGATGACCCAAGTCTGTAAGTAGCCCTAATTAAATTGATGAGATGTATGTCTGTACACGTGAAAGTCAGGTTACAAAACGATCAGTCGGAACTTATTATCAAAGTTTAATGACACAAGGAGAAGCTTAGATGGGATTGCATAACCTCGCAGTTCTGTTTTGACAGATGAGCTTGACATGTCTGTTGAACGAGTGTGATCTTGGTTAGAAGCATTAGTCAGCTGACAAATTGAGTCGTCTTCTTTTTAACTGCGGCTCCCTCTCTTTAACTCTTTAAATCAAGCATAAGTAATACTTTCTCAACTTTCTACCATTATTCTTCACATGCAACATATTCCATTATTTCAGTAGCTCATCTTATCTTGGCTTTCGTAGCATACATACCATAATTAACAAACATCTACGTACGAGAGCAAGCCCAGTCTCCGTCCAGTGTCATACCACTTCTGACCGTTCGACCCAGCTGCCCTTTCAAGTATTTTTGCGCTCCCTTAATCTTTGGCGTTTCGGTCGACATGTCTCGCCAACCTATTTTCTACCTGAGGAGCACATAATATTATGACAGCCAAAGCTTCATAGCGGGTCATATTTCACATTAATCACATCTCATATACTTGCATTAGTGGCAGTCTTGATATTCTACCCATAAACAAGAAGCAAACAGCAGTTTGACATTGAAAGTGATGACGTTACTTGATCTGGTTTCAGGTAAATTAAAAAAATCTCATGCGGCCTAGCGCGATTAAGTGCTTATTCAAAAGCTGTATTTTCCCTCGGTTGCATAAGCGATGAAAGATTGTTAGTCATCTTTGTTCCCATTAAATAGCTTAGCTGAGCTCTTATTCACAACTACTGATGGTCATTAAAACTACTTATATACAAAACAAGTAACCTCTTCGATTGCAATGAAAAACTCGTACTTGCTTAATCGATAGTCTAACTATCAAATGTGCCAACCCACAAACGTTGTGGTTCAACATTGAACCTAATCAAAGCAAGCAGTACCACAACATTTGTGAGTTGGCACACAAGAGACTGGTACATGGGAATTCATAGAATTGGTATTAGAGATAGAAACTGCATAGACGCGACGGCGATGTGAGCTAATGGGCCGACAGTAGGTTTTATAAGAGACGTGATCCATGTGGCAAAG